TCTGGGGGATGGGGAGCCAGTGGAGCCGGTCGAGGGTGGGAGCGATGGGGTCGCGGAGCCTCGCGGGGGAAGAGGACACGAGCAGCAGAGTTCCCGGATGACCTGCAGCTCGTGGAGGGAAGGGTTGGGATGACCGACAAAGCAGGGAGTTGGCGTAGTCGAGCCGTAGATAATCATTGTCCGCCAATGTTTCGATCACCTTCAACTGCAGCGTTTTGATGACGAACCGAATGTTTTTTTTAAAAAAAAGAGCCCTTTTTGACGAGTCACAAATTATTTCATAATTCCGGGATTTTAATAAAAAATGATTAACGCTGAATGCTAAGCCCCTGGTCAGTGAGGTAATGGCAGGGTGAGCATCAGCGCCGTCTCCCCAAGCTAATCACCTCCCGCTCCTCTGCTGCGGGACTGGTGCGAGTTTACTGTCAGAGACCATAACCAGGAGAGAGGAAAGGGTATCGTTGGAACTATAGCTATATTAATCACAATGCACGGTATCTCTTCTCACACTGCAACCCCAGAGAGAGCAGCGCGTGTTAATCCAACCCCTGTATTCCCCTCCACGTTACGCACCGTTCACTGACTCTTTGAGAGTCTTGGCACTTTGAGACGTCCTTCTGGCACACACAACGAACACAAGGCTAATAATTATTATTATTACTAATAATAACAATATCTGGTACTCTTGGTGCTGTATCGGCCCAGTGTAACACGCGCACAGGCAGAGGGGACGTTCACACCAATCGACTACAGCACTGAAAGCAGTTGAATTCTGCGCTATTCATCTTTTTTCTCTTCTTAAAGGGAGAGAGAGTGCGCATTCCATTCCAACAATCTCTCTCTGGGATTTCCATGTGGAGGTGGGATGCCTGGAAACCTCAGCTTGGTTGGGAGACGCTTAAGCACCGTGATGGGTTTCTGCGTGCGTCAGACACCCGGTTGACCACCCGCCCACCCCCCCACCCCCAAAAAAAATCTCTTCTTAAATTGTATCTGCTTTGGACAAAAGAATGTCTAAACACAGCGGGTTTAACACTCTAACCATTCGCACATTATTGTTCTTAATTTGTAATGATTCTGTAGCACAAATCCCTCTCACACACACATACCCTCTTTGCTGTACCCCAGGCCATGTGAGACATTAACACAGACAATATCGCCTGCTAATCCCTCCGTATTAATGATCATTAATTCTCTGCGTGAGGCGAGAGATTGAATCAGCCAAATGAAACGCCTCTTCGTCCCCAAGGGGTTCATTTACAACTGTGCATATTAGTGATGATAATAATAATATTATTAATAATCATCGTTGCATTTGATATAGCAAGTTATTCACGTCTTTGAGACGTCTCGAAGACCTTCACATGTGTCAAAGGAAAGAAAAGTGCGGTTTCAAATGATAATTTTGCGAACACTTTACAGGATTAACATTATAGTGCATCATCTGACAAGCAGCCCCGGGCTGGGGGCTGGCGCTCTGGGCTGGGGGCTGAGCTGGGGGCTGGCCTCTGGGCTGGGGGCTGAGCTGGGGGCTGGCCTCTGGGCTGGGGGCTGAGCTGGGGGCTGGCCTCTGGGCTCGGGGCTGGGGGCTGAGCTGGGGGCTGGCCTCTGGGCTGGGGGCTGAGCTGGGGGCTGGCCTCTGGGCTGGGGGCTGAGCTGGGGCTGGCCTCTGGGCTCGGGGCTGGGGCTGGCCTGGGCTCGGGGCTGGGGGCTGGGGGCTGAGCTGGGGGCTGGCCTCTGGGCTGGGGGCTGAGCTGGGGGCTGGCCTCTGGGCTCGGGGCTGGGGACTGAGCTGGGGGCTGGCCTCTGGGCTCGGGGCTGGGGGCTGAGCTGGGGTTGGCCTCTGGGCTAGGGGCTGGGGGCTGAGCTGGGGCTGGCCTCTGGGCTAGGGGCTAGGGCTGGGCTGGGGTCTGGCCTCTGGGCTGGGGCTGAGCTGGGGGCTGGCCTCTGGGCTCGGGGCTGGGACTGAGCTGGGGGCTGGCCTCTGGGCTAGGGGCTGGGGGCTGAGCTGGGGTCTGGCCTCTGGGCTCGGGGCTGGGGGCTGAGCTCTGGGCTGTTCTGTTCTGGGCTGGCAGTTGGAGGCTGGGCTGGGGGCTGGGCTGGGGGCTGAGCTGGGGACTGGGGCTGATCCGGATACCGACCCACCCGCCCTGTGCCCTCCGGATACCGACCCACCCGCCCTGTGCCCTCCGGTTACCGACCACCCGCCCTGTGCCCTCTGGTTACCGACCCACCCGCCCTGTGCCCTCCGGTTACCGACCCACCTGCCCTGTGCCCTCCGGTTACCGACCCACCCGCCCTGTGCCCTCCGGTTACCGACCCACCCGCCCTGTGCCCTCTGGTTACCGACCCACCCGCCCTGTGCCCTCAGGTTACCGACCCACCCGCCCTGTGCCCTCCGGTTACCGACCCACCCGCCCTGTGCCCTCAGGTTACCGACCCACCCGCCCTGTGCCCTCCGGTTACCGACCCACCCGCCCTGTGCCCTCCGGTTACCGACCCACGCCGCCCTGTGCCCTCCGGTTACCGACCCACCCGCCCTGTGCCCTCCGGATACCGACCCACCCGCCCTGTGCCCTCCGGTTACCGACCCACCCGCCCTGTGCCCTCCGGTTACCGACCCACCCGCCCTGTGCCCTCTGGTTACCGACCCACCCGCCAGAGGAAGCAGTTTCTCCCCGTCTGCTCCATCAAAACCCGCATAGTTTTGAACACCTCCATTAAATCTCCCCTCAACCTTCTCTGCTCTAAGGAATCAAAAATAAAAATAAAATAGTTATTATATCCGCCGGCAGCTTCGGTCCATTTGGTCTGAGTGTTATTATAATTTTAAATGTAAAAAATGCTCGGGTTGGGGGGGTTGGTGTGTGTTGTGGTGTGTCAGTGGGGGTGGGGGCAGTGTGTCAGGCTGGTGTGTGTTGTGGTGTGTCGGGACTGACCGCCGATGGTACGAGAGGGTGTATTTTTGTCAACAATATAAAAATATGTTTATTTGTTCACCTTGAGGAAGAAGAGGGTGAGGAGGAAGGAGCTGTCCAGCCAGGAGATGTGCAGCTCAGCTCTGGTACTGCCACACCGGCCTCTGACCCGGGCACCGCGCGGGATAGTGATCTCAGCCTCGTCTGTGATCAGCTGTGAGACACACACACACACACCCCGTCACCAACACACACACACACCCCGTCACCAACACACACACACACACACCGTCACCAACACACACACCGTCACCAACACACACACACACACCCCGTCACCAACACACACACACACACACACCGTCACCAACACACACACACACACACACACACACACCGTCACCAACACACACACACACACACCGTCACCAACACACACACACACCCCATCACCAACACACACACACACGCACACACACACACCGTCACCAACACACACACACACACACACGTCACCAACACACACACACACCCGTCACCAACACACACACACACACCGTCACCAACACACACACACACCCCGTCACCAACACACACACACACACCCCGTCACCAACACACACACACACACACACACACCGTCACCAACACACACACACACACACCGTCACCAACACACACACACACCCGTCACCAACACACACACACACACCGTCACCAACACACACACACACCCCGTCACCAACACACACACACACCCCGTCACCAACACACACACACACACCGTCACCAACACACACACACACACACACACACACACCGTCACCAACACACACACACACCCCGTCACCACACACACACACACACACACACACACCAACCACCACACACAACCCCGTCACCAACACACACACACACCGTCACCAAAC